TACTTACAAGATTTCATTAACTTGCTTCCTGTTATTAAATTGTGACTGCAGTATGCACCTGATGAGAAAACTTATATATGCCAGTTAGTAAATTATGCAATCTTTTGTTTGTGTCTTAATTTTTTATTTGCTCCAAACATGGGGAATCCCTAAGTTCCCTGGGAAGTTCAGTATTTTAGGGGTATTGCGGTTGGAAATGAATACTGATTACCCCTGCCTCACAAATATCTGCCCTAACCTTCATCTTTGTGCCAGGTAATGTGGGTGTTCAAAGGAGCGAGCGTGCAGACTATCTTGATGACACTGCAGATGTTGATCCTTAAGCAAACTAACAGCTTCAGCCATGTGTCCTCACATCCCCTTCAGCAAACTAACAGTTTCAGCCATGTGTCCTCACATCCCCTTCAGCAAACTAACAGTTTCAGCCATGTGTCCTCACATCCCCTTCAGCAAACTAACAGTTTCAGCCATGTGTCCTCACATCCCCTTCAGCAAACTAACAGTTTCAGCCATGTGTCCTCACATCCCCTTCAGCAAACTAACAGTTTCAGCCATGTGTCCTCACATCCCCTTCAGCAAACTTAACAGTTTCAGCCATGTGTCCTCACATCCCCTTAAGCAAACTTAACAGTTTCAGCCATGTGTCCTCACATCCCCTTAAGCAAACTTAACAGTTTCAGCCATGTGTCCTCACATCCCCTTCAGCAAACTTAACAGTTTCAGCCATGTGTCCTCACATCCCCTTCAGCAAGCTAACAGCTTCAGCCATGTGTCCTCACATCCCCTTCAGCAAACTTAACAGTTTCAGCCATGTGTCCTCACATCCCCTTCAGCAAACTTAACAGTTTCAGCCATGTGTCCTCACATCCCCTTCAGCAAACTTAACAGTTTCAGCCATGTGTCCTCACATCCCCTTAAGCAAACTTAACAGTTTCAGCCATGTGTCCTCACATCCCCTTAAGCAAACTTAACAGTTTCAGCCATGTGTCCTCACATCCCCTTCAGCAAACTTAACAGTTTCAGCCATGTGTCCTCACATCCCCTTCAGCAAACTTAACAGTTTCAGCCATGTGTCTTCACATCCCCTTCAGCAAACTTAACAGTTTCAGCCATGTGTCCTCACATCCCCTTCAGCAAACTTAACAGTTTCAGCCATGTGTCCTCACATCCCCTTCAGCAAACTTAACAGTTTCAGCCATGTGTCCTCACATCCCCTTCAGCAAGCTAACAGTTTCAGCCATGTGTCTTCACATCCCCTTCAGCAAACTTAACAGTTTCAGCCATGTGTCCTCACATCCCCTTCAGCAAACTTAACAGTTTCAGCCATGTGTCCTCACAGCCCCTTCAGCAAACTTAACAGTTTCAGCCATGTGTCCTCACAGCCCCTTCAGCAAACTTAACAGCTTCAACCATGTGTCCTCACATCCCCTTCAGCAAACTTAACAGCTTCAGCCATGTGTCCTCACAGCCCCTTCAGCAAACTAACAGCTTCAGCCATGTGTCCTCACATCCCCTTCAACAAACTAACAGCTTCAGCCATGTGTCCTCACAGCCCCTTCAGCAAACTTAACAGTTTCAGCCATGTGTCCTCACAGCCCCTTCAGCAAGCTAGCAACACCGCTTTAGGCATCTGTAAGAGTATCAGTCTCTTTGATTCATTGATAGTTGTAGCAGTTGATGTCAGTGAAGAAAACCTGAGCACAGTGTGCTTTAAAGCAACAAGCACCATGGTCTCTCATTCCTTCCAACCTGCAGGCATCTCTCAATCATGTCCGCTCACAGGCAGCCCACAACCCTTGTCAGCCCTTCCATTATTCAGGCAGTCCCTAAACAGTACCTGCCATTCCAGCCTACAGGCAGCCCCCAATCCATGTCAGCCTACAGGCAGCCCCCCAATCCATGTCAGCCTGCAGGCAACCCCCAAATCCATGTCAGCCTGCAGGTAACCCCCAGCCCTTATAAGTTTGTTTCATCCACACAGGACCAATCAATGACAGTCAGAACTCTCCACATCCTGAGTGAGTCTAAACAAGTGTTTTCCAAACTTTTCTTAGTCGCTGCGCCTTTTTTCAATTTAAATCACGGCGCCCTAAGCTAAATAAAAGTATGACTATTCGAATAAAAGAGATTTTTGTTAAAAAATTGTGTGTATCTTCGAATATTTTGCGGCGCCCATATGAAGAGGTCGCGGCTACCCGGGTAGCCGAGGCGCACAGTTTGGGAACCCCTGGTCTAAACAACATCCAGTATGCCTTAATAAGAAGGAAGGACTCGTATATAATCTTCTTCTCTTCACTTCTTCTTGCATTGTTTCAGTAGTGGAGGACAACATAAGGTTATGTTTCTTGCTGCTCTGGCCGCCTCGACAATCCACAGGACTTGCTGTTGCAGAGTTTCTCTGATGTTATCTTCCCATCTTACATGTATGATCACTTCCTAGATAACGAACTCACGTAAAATCACTTCCTGGCACCTGAGGCTACATTTCATAAGATAACGTAACCATTGATCCATTTGGGTCTTGCATGTGTATCAATGAAAGCACTAGCACATGAAACAGGCCATCTCTCCCTGTCGTCCGCTTGTTGAACAAGTGTACTATATTTCATACACGCAAACTCCCCATCTAGGTTCTGTGGACCCATTGTGGGGGGGGGGGGGGACAAGAATAGAGGCACTGCCTCCCTAACAAGCATTTCATAAGCGTTGAGAGGCAAGGAATCCAACATTTTGCACACATGTAAGTCAGATCTATAAAACGGATATCCACGCAAAACTTAGGTTTTGAAACAAGAGATAGAAGAAGGATATACACAAACAAATGTGTCATTAAATTTGCCGTAAGATTTGTGCATGGGGGAAACAAATTTCCTGCTGAGTGGTTTTGAGGTATGGTGTCCGCCTCCAGTGTTGGAGGTCCCGAGTTCAAGCCCTGGTGAAAACTTAAGTTTTTCCCGTGGACTTCTAGTAATTTCCCCTGGTCTCTGGGTAGTAAGACCGGACGCCCATGTGTATTCTTGCGCAAGTAACAGAAAAATCCCAGTTGGAAGTCGAAAAGAGTAGCCCAGCGGCGCTGGCAAAATTTGGAGTTGAAAGTCTACCTGAAGTATTTCAGGATCCTCGTCAGTGCAACAGAGTTCGTGCACTGTGCTGAGATTCTTCAGGCTCAGACGTGAGTTAAAAGTAGAACGAAGCACTTATGGGTTGCACCCATGTACCTTGATGTTGATCCATCGAATAAATATAAAACAAACATATATTCCCGGGTATAGTTTATTTTTCTATAAATGTATATATAAACACAATGTCTGTGTAAAGATACAAGAATAGTAGGATTGTGCTGATGTTAACACTTTGGTATTTATCAATCAGACAGTGCCATCTCCACAAGGATGGTTGGCTGCATTGGATCTCAAAGTCAATATATATCTTGTCTTGGTAGTGCACTCCATCAAACGTGCTGGTACATCTCTTGACATTGTCCTCCCACTTGTATTGTTGTCTATCTTGTGTCCTCTAGGCTTCGACTTTTCCCTCCAGTATGGTTTTTAAAAAGATTGTTTTGTTTTTTATTGGCAGTTATAATGAGTTTCCAAGGTGCTATCTTCATGCAGCCCCCCCCCCCCCCCCTTTTCTCCCCACAGTCTATCAATGGGCTGGAATACCCACGTGTAACACTTTCTTCCTCTTGCCAGCTCTCCTCGCCGATCACATTGTTGATTATTTAATTTAATGGTTAACTCACTGTCAGCCAAAACAGAATTAGTAACCATGGAAATAAGATGTCTGATAAGGGCTGCAGGAGTGACCAGAGGAAATAAAATTGAATTAAGTTATAAAAGAAAAAGACAACAAATCAAACGGCTCACTTAGAGAGAATGGCTTTTGACCTCATACCAAACAAGACACACACCAAAAGAGGAGAAGGATGTAGAGCACCAGGAAGACCAAAAACAAAATGGAAAAACAGCATCTTGTGTCGATGGTTGAGTCGGTCAGAAGAAAAACTTTAAATCTCCCTCAACAAGTGGTAAAAGAGGAGGTGAGGCAGAATTCTCTGTCTCGATTCAAACCACAAGCATTGTGTCTCAGAGTTCTGAAACTGTCTAATCTTTACCTAGTGTAGGTTTTCTGGTTATATGTTAGTTATGAAATCTTACATTACACACTTTTTGTAACAGGATAACTGATTCTTCCTTCTTATAGTAGTCATTTGTGTCCACAACCTTCTGTCTGGTGTACATTCATCAATTCTGATACATAAGATCTTCCATAGTCCATGTCGTGTGGCATTGGTAGTCATGTGTGTCCACAACCTTCTATCTTGTTTACTTTCAATAAGTTCTGATACAAATGATCTTCCACAGTCCACGTACTGTGGCATTGGTAGTCATGTGTGTCCACAACCTTCTGTCTTGTTTACTTTCAATAAGTTCTGATACAAATGATCTTCCATAGTCCATGTACTGTGGCGTTGGTAGAAATGTCTGTCCACAAAATGTTTTCTTATAAAGTTTCAGTCGGTTATGACACAGATGATCTTCCATAGTCTGTGTCATGTGGCGTTGGTAGTCATGTCTATCCACAACGTTCTGCCTCGTGTACTCAGTTCTGATATAGATGATCTTCCATGGTTTGTCGCATGTGGTGTTGGTAGTCATGTCTATCCATAACCCTCTGTCTCGTGTACTTTCAGTCAGTTCTGACAGATGATCTTCCATGCCATAGTGTCAAAATGTCAAGTATCCCTCCATCCAGTTACACATAGTTACAACACCCTGAAAAAACGCAGTTACGAATATACATATCTGAACTTCAAGAACAAAGATCGAAGGTACGGAAAAACCATGATAGGATACAACAAACACTGTCTCTTCTTCTCACTCCGTGTCCTCAGATGGTGAAGCTAACCATGAACACGTTAACCAACCATCCAACACAAAACCTCAAAAGTTCTTCAATCAAAACGTTATCCTTGAACTCAGAAGTTGATCCAGAGCCTAAGCGGTAATCGCCTGCAGATAGTTTTTCCGCGCCGGAAGCTGGTCAGCCTCGGGACGATTGGTCGCTTTCCAGACGACCTCCTCCGTGAACAGCCGCCTCATCCGGATAAAATTCTGAAAGTGGATTCGAGTAAACCAATTCACTATTAGACTGCATGCTTTTGGTTTCTCAACTACCGTTTAGACCCGCCAGAACCAAGGAGCTCAGGTAATTTGAAAACATACCCCTAGTAAATGTTAGTGGAGCTGAGCACTACCCCCCCCCCCCCACCCTTTTTTTTTGCCACTTTTGAAAATGTGCAAGGTCTTCCCCTGCCCACTTCCACACCCAGTTCGGGGGGGGGGGGGGGGGGGCGTTGTCTAGCTGGGAAACATTTCGTCTTCTTCTTCTGCTTCTTCTTCTTTTTTTTTCTTCTTCTTTTTCTTCTTCTTCTTCTTCTTCTTCTTCTTCTTCTTCTTCTTCTTCTTCTTCTTCTTCTTCTTCTTCTTCTTCTTCTTCTTCTTCTTCTTCTTCTTCTTCTTCTTCTTCTTCTTCTTCTTCTTCTTCTTCTTCTTCTTCTTCTTCTTCTTCTTCTTCTTCTTCTTCTTCTTCTTCGCGTTCAAGCAGCTGTAAACTCTGGCCGAAAGTTTTGGTTGTTCATCCACTTCTGGACTTTAGTCCTGTTCCAGAACCTGAGTGTTGAGTATGCATCCGTTTTACAGATCTGACTCATTTGTATGAAGACTGTTGGTTCCTTGACTCTCAGGCAGATGCACTCCGACTTTGAAGGAAGCTCCTAATTAGTCGAATTTTACGACATGCTTTCGGGTAGGCAGTGAGTCTGTTCTTGTTTTCCCCCTATAACAGGGCCCTGAAACCCTCAGAGGGAAAAACATATTAAATAAGCGTGCATGGATCTATTAGTGCAAATATACATGACCTGAGGAGAGCGGTACTAGGTAGATAACTATGCGTGTCTTTTCCTGGTATCTGTTTAAGGCCCGGAAAACTCACGATCAAAACAAAAACTCTTGTCTATCAGGCTTGTGTTTTCAGCACTCTTCTTTGTGGCAGTGAAACCTGGTCAAGCTATTCGCACCAGGAGAGACGGCTTAATAGCTTTCACATGCGATGCCTAAGAATTATACTTGGCGTTCAGTGACAAGACCATAATGAGGTGTTGGAAAAAGCAAGTGTTGCTGCAGTTTTCTCAATGCTGTCTACCAAGGCTCATGTGGCTGGGTCACACCTGGAGGATGGTAGAATCCTTAACGACATACATTACAGATTGGTAGAAGACGTTGAGGCTGATCTCTGCTACGATATAAAGATGTGTGCAAGGGGGACATGAATGATACAGATACTGAGGTGGGTTCCTGGGATTAATCCAGAAAAATGCCTATCCGTGTCATAGTACACTACTCCGGCGAATGGAAAGAAAAAGAAGATAGTGACGACGTTAATTTAATTTATCAATATTAGAATCGAAAAAGTAATTGCAGTATAAATTGAGGAGTTGTGTAAATTATATATGAACGCTTTACAGATTTTCTAAATGGAAAAGACTTATGTAAGGCATACAAAGTTTTATTTAGTTTGCACGTGTTTCAAAAAAGGGCTCTCACCTGTTTGTCCAAGGTAAACCGGTGATAAATGCCTGCAGGTAAAATCAACAGGTCATTCTTGGTCACATGCACGCGAATCCAGCGGTCAGAGGAGTCCCTCAGGTCGAAGTAGCCGCCTCCTTCTGTGACAAACCGGATCTCCTCGTCTGCGTGCAGGTGTTCGGTGTTGAAAATGTGAAGCTGTGAGCGGGAAAACACAACGTTAATTGTGCGCCCCTTTTTTATCGGACGGACAATAATTATCTTCTTTCCCAATAACGTTAGTTTCGTATCCTTTACAGAACGTTGCAGAACCAACCCCAGCAGCCCCTGGCTGTTGTGTGGTTTCTCTAGGCAAATTTACGTCCTCTTTCCTAATAAGGAAAACAATTTTATGGCTGGGGGCTACCACAACATGAGGAACTGTATAAAAGGGTCGCGGCATAAGGAAGGTTGAGAACCTCTGATATAAAGGTTTCGTGCAGACTTGTGACGTCTCGTGACGCACAGTAAGGCGCCACTCTGCCTAGTATTTAGTTTGTATCAATTGTCTTCTCTCATCAAGTTTCTCGTCATATATTTTTTTTTAATTGAGTTAAAATGTTTCGTTATTTGAAGCCCCGCTTTGGCTTTTGCCAGGGGCCGCAAAAATATGGCCTGGAGGCTGAACGCGGTTTCTGGGACCTCTCCACGGCGATCCTCATCCACATGGTGGTACTTGGTGTCATCGGGTGTTTATCGCTTGTGTGATGTCCTGGTGGGGTGGAAAGTCAGTCAATCAGTCTTCTCTCATTGTATTCTGATTTAGAATATCATAAACAGTTGTTTCAACCTAAAGATGATCTTTACAATGAATATTATGTCATCGAAAACACAAATAATTCCCATATCTGTTCCTCTTGAAAAAAGGGAAACAGATTTCAGTCTCAGCAAAGCCATCAGATACACACGCATTAAATGCATAAGCTATCGTAAAAAAAGCCCTGACTACAACAAATTAGCAGTTACCCTGCAGTTTTTGCATAAGGCAGCACTAGTTCTGTACACAAAACAGGCATTTGAAAAACAAGTGGTTGCGTAACTTTAATGACTATTGTGAGAACTGCAATTAAAATGTGTTGATAGGAATGGTGAAATCTTTGTGATGACGATGATGCTGACGGTAATGATGTTACCATTTCATCGTAATTTGAGAGAGCTTCTCGAGAAATTTCCAAGCCATCTTCATAATGGTAGCCTCGCTTGCGCTTCAGCTCTGCATACTCTGGGTTAGTCTCCCATGTATCTGCGTCGAACTGAAAAAGAAAGGGAGGGGGGGGGGAAATCAGGGAATTGCAATAACACATTCAGACACAATGGGAGTAGACAATAAATATAGAATTATGCAAATGCCGGCTGCGCTCATAAAGATGAACTAATAGAACATGTTGTGGATGGCTCAACACAGCCCCCGTGGATATTGTGTTTTAGTACTAGGTCTGGAGTCTAGTAGTCCATACACCAACCTCACTCCAGCAGATATATTTTGTTTTTAACTTGTACTCCTATTTAATATTAATTCATCCTGCTTAAAGAAGTTGAAGACAATAAAAATAACTGGACAAGCGTTTGCATCATCAGTTACAAGACAAATAATATGAGATTATTTTGGGCACACAATGATCAGACCCGGCAAGAAATGACCAAACAAGCACTGAAATGGGAAACACATGGGTCGAGGAAACGAAAACTTTCAGGAGAAACCCACTGATGAAAGTTATTGAGAGGGACTAAGGATTGGACTGGATTCCATCCACGAAATAGGAAGGATTGCACAGAACACAACGGAATTTAGGAATCAGTTGGGAGCCCTGTTTGACTTTCAAACAAGATATTGGCTCACAGCTCGAACCAGTCTTAAACTGTCACCAGTTAAGTTCTGGGAGGTAAAGGTGGTCGGCGTGATGTTGACCACATTACCAATTTTAGTCAATAAAAAAAAGTCTCGCCTCATACGCCGGATACTCCTTTTGCTGTGTAAAGCGACATTTAGTTACTTGTTTTATCTATGTAATGTACAGGGTAGGGTATATTTTTAATAATTGCTTTTTTGTGTGTGTTTTGTTTTTTAAATACTTCCGCTCCTGTTTTTTTTTTTTTTTTAATTACCGTCTGTTGAGTTATTGCAACACATACTGCTATAGTCTGTCGTATTTTGGGTAGTGTTTTACCCATTATAGCCCTTTTCACAATCAACTGTACTGTTTAAAGTACTAACACTATTAGGATGAGGCACTTGAATATCAGGAAATGAAATCATAAGTTGTTGAACAAACAATCTGAACATCTGTCATTGCTAAGAAACACATGCTCAGCCAAAAACTCTTTCTTTTTGTTTTTGTTTTTAAGAGTCAACGCCATTATAAAAGTTAAAGTAAAGGCCCCTTTTCCACGCCTCTCTATCGTATTGCTGTATAGTGCTAGATCTTTATTTTATAGACCAAACGGAACTTAGTGGGTGATGTTGTCAGCCTTTACTTTCACACGACTGTACCTGGTACCCACTCAAGGCTGGGTCGACCTGGGAACCAAAGTCATGTTTAAAAAATAATCCGGCCCCTGACTTGAACCAAACCCACGACCTTCCGATCTGTTACTAAAACGTCGATATATAGCAGTGATATTCTAAACTAACGGTAACACGGTACTTGAAACACCACGTAATACACAAAATGTGTGCGCAAACAACTGATTTCCAAAAGTCTACAGTCATTAAACACACACCATGTTTGATAACACACTATGATCATGATCATGAATATTACGATGAATGGACAGATGAATAATGAATAAGCACATACATATCAACAAACACGGATTGCACTGACAGGTAGAGCACAGCAAGGACAGAAAAAACAAACGAAGCAATCCGCACCGAGACGCATGACAGTTGTAAACTTATTAGAACAATTAGATACGTAGACAGTCAATATGTACATGATTATGAGAAGAAATTGACTGGTAACAACTTGCAAGATTGATGAAAATAGAGCAAGAGGAAGGCTAAAGAGATAAACATCTGGATGATCTGACCAGATGGATGGGGCGAGACAAAAACATTGAACTGATCCGTGATTTTGGTGATCGTATGAGATGGTGAAACACGAGAGCCTACGCTCGTCGGTACGGCACATGATGATGATTACGATGATTTTTTTTTTTTTTCAACCAGAGCATCACACAAAGCGATAAACACCCGGTGACACAAAATATCACCCTACGGTAGAGGATCACCCGTGGAGAATTCAACCGTCAGGTTAGATTAGGGCTCCCGGCAACGGCCAGGGTAGGGCTTCAAAATGACAAATTGCCTCATACTGGGCGACGACGGATTAGTTGCCGCTGGAGATCGAGATATATCAGATTTGTTTGTT